GAAATATAAGGGAGAGGAATATATTAGACAACACCAAAGAAACAGACAAATATAGAAGAGTGAAAGACAGTGGAATGAAAAAATAGATAAGAATTGTTTACATTAAATGGCTTATTTTAAACTATGTCTGGGTGTATTTCTTTTAGCATAAGCTACATATTGCTCAAAAAGTATGTTGTTAATTCAAATACTTATTTTTCCTTTTGTGATTATTTTGTTTCAAAGACCATAAAACCTTGTAGGTGGTTTTTTTGTTTGTTTATTTGATTTTGTTTTTTACCAAGAAGGACTTCCTAGACCAGGCCTATTTGTACTTTAAAGGAGTAAAGTGTACTGAATATTGTCTTGTAATAGGTGACTTTACATGTTTATAATTTATTTTTGTATTTAAGTTTGTTAAATGGCTTAAATTCTGTAAGACATCTTTGTCATTCATATATGCAAGTTTTTTTCCTGTTAAGTTTATTAGATTAGGAGTATTTGTGAAAGATACTATGTAACACTGTTAACCGATATACTCTTCCATAAGGCAATGGAAACATGAAATTCTGCTTTATTTAAATTTGTATATATATATATTATATTTAAAGAACAGAGTCACTACTTGTATTGCTGTTTAGTTCAGCATGGAAATCTTAATGAAATTCGTTACTGCTTCATATTCATAATAAAAGGGCTAGACTTTTACTGTCTGGTAGGGCAGCTACTCGGAGGTGGCTTTCGAGAACCTGAAATGTGGCTGATCCACAATGAGATGTGCTCTGAGTGTAATATGCACAGTGGGTTTGGAAGACTTAGTATGAAAAAATAAAGTAATATTTTTATAATTGTTTTAGATAACTGTGGTTTGAATAATATTTTAGATATGTTGATTAAATAGAATATAATACTTCATTAAAATGTATTTCACCTTCTTTAAAATGTGGCCACTAGAAAATTTAAAATTACATATGTGGCTCATATTCATATGATATTCATATTCATATGTTGGGCAGTGCTGGGCTAGAATATCACAGCTTTCCTATTATGATGAAAACATGTAACCTGAGTATTTCTGGTCTGAGAAAGATTACCATGAATGCATAGTTTTAAATTAAAAAAAATCTTTTGTAAAAACAGAAAAATTAGAATCACACACACACAAAAAACCATTGACAGCCTCTTTAGCAAAATTAGATGTGGTGGTATCTGCACTAACTCCAGATTCTGGGTCAGTGTGTTTATTTAGTGAACACTGCAGAGCAGTGGAAGTGAATGAGGCAGCTACACAAAACAATACGACTGAGGCATAACTCATAAACGTACTCTGAAGGCAAAAGCCAGACAAAAGTGAGCACATACTGTGTGATTTCATTTATTTAACACTCAGAAACTGGCGGGCCATGGCTGGGTGGAACAGTGGGTTGGAACATTGTCCTGTACAAAAAAAGATTGTGATTTCTGTCCCCAGTCAGGGCACATGCCTTGGTTGTGGATCTGATCCCTGGTTGAGTCATGTAGGAGAGACCGTCAGTCCTTGTTTCTCTCATGTTGATGTTTCCTCTCTCTCTCTCATCTCTTTGCCTCCCCCCCCACCTCTCTCTCTTCCTCTCTCCCTCTCCTTCGATCCTCCTTTCTCTCCCTCTACAATCAATAAATATATCCTTTGGAGAGGATTTTTAAAAAGCAGACAAAACAGAAACTTTTCATGGTGCTGAGAATTCAGTGTATTACTCTGATGGTTTCCTTTGTGGAGCAGGAGAGGTAGTGATTGGGAAGGGGCCACAAGGAGAGTCCCGGGGCGGGAATTCTGCCCTGTTTACATCCGTGGTAGTTAAATGGGTGTGCTCATTTTCCGGAATTCGTTATCTGTGTACTTCTCTGGTTAAGTTATACGTAAATAAGAAGGTTATAAAAAGGGAATGAAGAAGTGCCACTGACAGGGAGTGATCTCCAGGAAGTAAAAAACAAACAAGATTACAAAACAAGATGCAGCGCAGTGTTTATATTACGAAGCATTTTGGTTTGGTGTATAGCCTGCCGCCTGTCCGCCTCCTGGCCAGCCCTGACTGATTGTTATCACCCAAGCCTTGGCCCTCTGCTTTCCTTTTTACACAGTCTTAGGATAGTAATTCACATGGCCGTGCATCTAGTTCCAGCCTCGAGCCCCAATTGATCAATTGCTTATTTCCAACATTCTGTAGAATAGCTTCTTTAGATTATGTCATGGCAGACACAAAAATCAGCATATCCAAATAAGCTACCATCCTAATAATCCTACTGTTTCCATCAGTGGTTTCACTGCTCTCTGAACTTAAAATAGTAGAGTTTTTGCTGACCTAATCGTACACTGGACAGCCAGCCAGTCTGTCCCCGTTGCTGACAATTTCCTTTCAGCATTGTAAAATGCTTAATTCCCATTTATAAACTTACAGGATAACATCATTTAGAAGCTCCAATAGGATGTTGTTAGTTTGCCTGTCTTCACTTCACCTGCAGGTATTATAGTCAATAAATAATAATGTTACTAAAATGACACTGAGAGAAAATGTTCCCAAGGTTACATAGTGATGATGATTGAACAACTCTGTGAATATACTAAAACCAGTGAATTAATTGTGCACTTTAAAAGAATGAGTTTTATGGTGAATTCTATCTCAGTAAAGCTGTTATTAAAAACAAAAATGTCTTTGAGAGCCTAGAGTTATTTCCTGTCACACTAAATCTCAGTTTCGGTGTAATATCCAGAGCCATTCATTGTCGCAGCCGCACTCTCCCGTTCAGCCTCATGCAGTCTCAGTGTACAGCCCCTCTCGGTGGTCTCATCTCATTGAGAATAACACCTTCCGGTCTACTAAATGCTTTTGTACATGAGATTAGCGCTCTTATGAGAATAGTCAAGGCCATCGATGTTACTCCTGTGTTAAAATTAGGGAGGCAGAATGATTTGTCTGGAATCATGGGGCTAGTATTAGAAGTCATGTCAACGTAAGGATACTCGCTGAGCATCTTTTATGTACTAGGCACTGGTTGGTGTAGTTGGGATATAGATATATGTGCCTCTGGTGCTTAGAGAATTTACCTGAGTTGTTTCTAATCTCCCTCTGTCTCTGTGAGTCTTCTTCCCATCTCTAGACTGTTTTATTGCTTCTACTTTGTCCTTGTTGTTTTTCTTCTTTAGAAGAAACTCTGTCCTCACAAACCTTCTTTAAACCTTCCTTTCCTTTGACTTCCTTGGGACCAGACCAATTCTAAATATATCTGTTACTTGCCACATTTTTCATATTTGATTTGCATGCATATTTATCACTTCATTGGTAAGAAAGCTTCTCAAGGACATAAATAATTATAATTTTGAAAGTATTTTTCACAATTTTTTTCTCATTGTGTCAGCATAGTTCTGGATTCCTAGATGCTTAGTAAAATTATGTTGAATAAAAAACTAAGGCCTTGCCATGATCTTTAATTTATTGGCTAGTGGGGAAGACCAAACACATACTAAGGACATATCCTATACACTGTTACAAAGCAGTGAATCAGTAGTGGAAAATGAAATACTTCTAATTAAATGGTAAGTGGTTCTGATGAGGTAGGTTTTCTGTTACATTGTAACAGTTAACTGTAGCTTAAAAGTTAACTCTTTTTTTTTAAATCTAATCATTGTTCAAGTACAGTTTTCTGTCTCTTACTCCCATCCCAGCCCACCCCCCTCCCCCCAGTGCTCCCCACCTCCCTTCCATTTCCACCCCCCTTGGTTGTTGTCCATGTGTCCTTTACTTGTTCCTGTAAATCCTTCCCCTTTTCCCCCTGAAATCCCCTCCCTTCTCCACTCTGGTCACTGTCCCCCTGTTCTCTATTTCAGTGTCTTTGTTTTTATTCTGCTTGCTTGTTTGTTTTGTTGTTTAGCTTCCTGTTAAAGGTGAGATCATATGGTATTTGTCTTTCAACACCTGGCCTTTTTCACTCAGCATAATGCTTTCCAGTTCCATCCATGCTGTTGCAAAGGGTAGTAGCTCCTTCTTTCTTTCTGCTGCATAGAATTCCATTGTGTATACCATAGTATTCTGATCCATTCATTTACTGACGGGCACCTAGGTTGCTTTCAGCTCTTGGCTATTATAAATTGTGCTGCTATGAACATTGGGGTGCATAGGTTCTTTTGGGTTGGTGTTTTAGGGTTCTTAGGATAGAATCCCAGCAGTGGAATTGCTGGGTCAAAAGGCAGGTCCATTTTTAGTTTTCTGAGACAATTCCATATTGTTTTCCATAGTGGTGCCAGTTTGTAATCCCACCAACAGTGGATTAGAGACCCCTTTTCCCCACACCCTCTCGAACACTTGTTGTTTGTTGCTTTGTTTATGATGACCATTCTGACTGGTGTAAAGTGGTATCTCATTGTGGTTTTAATTTGCATCTCTCTGATAGCTAGTGATATTGATCATCTTTTCGTGTGTCTCTGGATTTTCTGTATGTCTTCCTTGGAGAAATGTCTGTTCAAGTCCTTTGACCACTTCAAAAGTTAATTCTGACCTTTAGACCTACTGAAGCCTTAGAAAGTCACACTTTAAGCACCAAAAGTAACTACTAGACAGAATTGGGCCAGTGTTATTCTGGACGAAGACAAGGTACCACTTACTGGCCTCTCTTCTAAGAAACCGTGTTAGTTGTCCACTATAGGGTGTACTGTCTCTACAGGATGATAAACCATCATCCCCTTCCTGTGTATTTTCAATAACCTTGTAGGTAAAGGTTGAACATCTTAAAGTAAGCAAAGTGAAGTCACATTCTGTGTACTTAGAAAATACTATTTACGGTAGAACTCTCTTGTCACTCAAATGTCTTGTACTGTTGCTTTTATGTCAGTTTACATGGATGTCTTGCAGCTCAGTCAGATGCTGGTCTTCCAGTGTTCATCTGTTTATTTTGAAGACAGTCTCTCTATGTCATTCTTAAGTAGTAATTATTAGGGTCAGAGTGTAGAAAAGGAAGCCTACTTAATGTTTTTATTGTTGCTTTATAAGGCACAGTTGGTGGATCTGAAATCTGAACTGACAGAGACCCAGGCAGAGAAAGTGGTGTTGGAGAAAGAAGTGCACGACCAGCTCCTACAGTTGCACTCGGTTCAGCTTCAGCTCCATGCTAAAACCGGGCAAAGCGTCGACTCAGGCACCATTAAAGCAAAATTGGTAAGTAGTTTAGAGGATAACTAACATATATGCATTTTAGAGGATGAAGGGGACAATTTTTAGCAAGGCTTTTTAATTATAAAAGGCTGCATGTGCACATTGTGGGAATTTTAGGAAATATAAGAAATGTAAAGATCAACATGATCATACAAAATCTCATCACCCAGAGGTGATCAGTGATGATATCAATAACCAACAGATACTTAGAACAGGAAACGGTTTTTGGTGCTTTTTGAGTGCTTCTGCCTTTTTTTCCCACCTCTTCCACATTGGCAAAATGTTTCCCTTTTTGAGGACCTTTTTCATCAGGAAAAAAAATAGTCAGTTGGGGTGAGATTGAGTGAATATGGAGGGTAGAGCGAGGGAGTCATGCCACTTTTGTTTGTTTGTTTTCAGAATCACAGAGCAAACTTTTATTTAAAAAAAAAAGAGTTTATTTATCTGTCTTTAGAGGGGAAAGGAAGAAGAGAGGGAGAGAAATATCAATGTGTGGTTGAGTCTTCTGCGTACCGTGCCAGGAACTGGCTTGCAACCCAGGCATATGCCCTGACTGGGAATCAAACCGCAATCCTTTGGTTTGCAGGCTGTGCTCAATCCACTGAGCTACATCAGCCAGGGCCCATTTTTTATCAAAAACTGCTGAACACTCAGTGTGGTGTGGGCAGGTGCACTTGTAAACCATCCATCATGAAATGGGCAAATGTGTTGAGTCTTCAAAAATAATTTACTGAGGCTGAATGCAGCCTCTCACAACAACACCAGCTGGTACACTGATATGGATGGGTTCTTAGAACACTCACGTAGCAGAGGAAACCTGTAATACATGGGGCTTGTCCTCTAGGAAATAATTACAGGGTCTTTTTGTGTGCCCTCTCCTACAGTTCCTATTTATTGCTTATGGATTTGCATGTATATTTGTTTTAATGAATTTTACCCAAATGATACTCAACATATGGAAAATTTCCCTGTAGTGATTATACCACTAGATAAATCATATTTGATGTTTTTCTAATTATAAAACTTTTTTCTTGTATCTTAAGTCTGTCCCCTCTGTGGAGGATCTGGTAAGTATGTTGTTTCTGTTTTGCTTTAATATGTCATGCTGAAGTGTTCTTGGTGTTTTATTTGCACATTACATGTTGTCACTTTGCGTTTGAAAATGATGTTAACGATGGCAGTTTTTTAATGTGCTGGTATCTGAGAAGTTAAGTGGATGGTCCGTTGTTCTCTTCTCACTACCTGTTGTTAGGGATTTGTGCAGCTCTCATGCATGCAAAGTCTCTTGCTCTCTCATATGTGTGGGGTGGGGTTCCTGTGCATATTACATTACATTTGATTTTCTGTGGTCAAAGAAAAAGAAAAAGATACTTCTTGTGTTTGTGATTTGTAGCTATTATTTCCAGAGCTCATCAACTTTTGACATTTGCTGAGCCTGGTAACTTGTCCAAAAGAGCAGTTGGTTTTCTTACTGTAGTGTTTTGAAGATATATTAAGCAGGCCCCCTTCCTCCTTTGCTGTTTGAATTCACCCCCAGAAAAAAAATGTGCATGGTGGTTTCTTATTCATCTACTGCATGTGTTGTAACTTTTTAGGAGTCTTGAGAATAATTGTGTGGCCTTAACTGAATTTTAAAACCCTTTACTAGAAATTATTTTTAAAAATAACAATATATAAATTCTTTTTAAAAAGATTTTATTTATTTATTTTTAAGAGGGAAAGGGAGGAAGAAAAACATCAACGTGTGGTTACCTCTTGAGCGCCCCCCACTGGGGACCTGGCTGGCAACCCAGGCACGTGCCCTGACTGGGAATTGATCCAGCGACCCTTTGGTTCACAGGCTGGCACTCCATCCACTGAGCCACATCAGCCAGGGCACAATATATAAATTCTTAATATTTTTCCCACTATCCCAACCTAATCAGGTTCCAATTTGTCGTGTGGCTTCACTGTTTTTTAAAATAAATAGTTTGGCTCTCTAAATACACAGTGAACTTGGTTATCACCTAATAAGAATAACAAACGGGTTAGCTAAAAAAAAATGTTTGTTTATTTTTTTTTCATTAAATCTAAAAATAATCAATTTTTTAGGCCCTTTTTTAAAAAAAATTTCATCTGTTAATTTCAGGTCTGAAAGTTTGTTAGATTCTTTAAAGGTTTGAATCATTACAGCAAAGCAGTGACTTAATATATTTCTCAGATTTCATAAATTTTGTATAAATAGCTCATTACAGTAATTTTAAGTGGGTAATTCTCAACATAAAGTTTAATTAGCCAGCAAACCAACAAATTTTTGGTCTTCTAGGAACTCTTTCTGAAACAAATAGCATTAACTTCAATAAATGCATAAAAAAGAGCCGGTCATGTTATCTGCTCTGTGAGTTCTCTTGGAACTGACCCCTGGCCTTTGCAGAATGGGTCCTGATATGAACGGATATATTCGTAATTCCAAAGTTGTTTAAAAAGGAGGGTGCTAGATTGTAGTTCTACAGCTTCTTTAAAAGCAACATCTAGAAATTGTTCTACTAGTTATTTTTTAACAAAAGTTGAAAAAACCTGCTGCTGATTAATGATTAATCTTCCTTCTGTTTATCACATACATAAAAAATATTTTTAGTCAAGTTGTCATTCATTTTAACTTGTACATATTCTTTTATTTTTAAGATTGTGATACTGTGTTGTATTTGAATATATTATATATTGATGTTTAAATATAGTACATGTTGATGTACTGTAGTTAAAACTATCAGTGTAGTAGACTAAAGTGGACAGTCAAATTAGTACCATACTATATTCCATGAATTGCTAAAAATTTGCTTAAATATCTCAACTTACTGATATCCAGAATAAAAAAGAAATGGTTATGATAATCAGTACTGACCGATACAATAGAAAATACCATTTGCCATTTGCTCAAGATAAACAGTTTTTCCTGGTGCTGTGATAGGTCTTTCAATCTCATAAAGGGGCATGGCAGTATAGTGAATTATATCTTCCACATTTTATCAATGGCTATAACAGTATTTTCACAGGCTTTATAGATTGCATTCTGTAAATTAGTAAAAGCAATTCTACTTAGGATAGATGAAAGTTTTTATCGTTTGGAATTTATTTTCTGATAAGAAAATAATACTTAAAATATCTCTCGGTGTCCTCATCAACTCTCAGAAGGGTTTTGTTTGGCCGTGCAGTTTGTGTGTGTGTGCCTTTGAATTCGACTGCCTTCAGGCAGGAGTTTGTGCCTTCAGTTTCCCAGCCTGCTTCGTCCTGTGCCTGCCTGTCTGCTCTGTGCTTGGTCCCTGGCGGCATTCGCACTTGTACATACTGTACTCCACACTTTGAAGATAAATTGAACATTGCTTTTCACACGTGAGAAACACGTTTTGATAAAAATTTGATGGTGAAGACCTTGAGGGTATATTCTCTGGCTAACACCTGTGAATTAACGCATATGAACTATTGACCAAGTGGAGCATGGGACGACATCTTTTTATGAGAGCTAAAACCATTTAGGATATGCACCCTTCCATTAGCAGGCAGGTGAGGCCAGTATTTTCCTCAGAAAGCAGCTCTTCAGTTACTTAAACATATGGACAAATAAATGAGCCAGATCCCAGAATTCAGTGATAATCTACACTATAGATACTCTTATCTATAGGAATTTTTAATGTGTAAATGTTTTAATGCAGCTGTTACCAGCATTTCTCCATGACCATAAAATGTTTTCTTTTAACTAAAATATCTGTTTTAATCTAAAGCATTGTAAGTTTCTTGTAGTCCTCTAAGATAGATTAGCTGTAGAACATATGTCTATGTAACTGACTGGTTTTGGCTGGCTTTACAGAATTATGGTGTAAAAATTAATCAGATATTTGGGCACAGTCAGCAGAGTGACTATTTTATTTTAGTCTAGTTTCCTGAGTCATTTTTAGAAAATAGGGAGCAGATTTAGTTATCCATCAAAGCCACTTCTATTAGTACGTGCTAACACAGGCGTAAAGTAGACTCCTAGGCCTCTTCGTACTCTCACTGGGAATGGCTCCACCACCTTCTGGTCCTAGTTTAAAAGAGCTTGATCCACGCCTCTGTTTTCTTATTTTATAGGAATAAATTAATTTCTATCATATCCTTCCCTTGTTAACATTTAGACTGTGTGCTTTTGTGTATTTTAAGGAACATGGTTTGTTGTAGTCTTAAAAATATTTTCATTACATTGTGTTTTTTTAAAAAATTACAATAGGAGAGAGAGCTTGAAGCAAACAAAAAAGAAAAAATGAAAGAAGCTCAACTTGAAGCTGAAGTGAAGTTGCTGAGAAAAGAGAACGAAGCCCTTCGTAGACACATAGCTGTTCTCCAGGCAGAAGTGTACGGCGCAAGGCTGGCTGCCAAGTACTTGGACAAGGAGCTGGCCGGACGGTGTGTAGAAATGGGTAGCCTTGTACTCTCAGGGGACGAGTGGTATTTAATGAGGTTGACTTTACCTCTGTGGCAAATGAAATGTTCATCTTTACCCTAAGTGTTATTTTATAGTTGGTTACAGCTTACTGCTGTTAACTTAATGTTGATAGCCGTATATATTGCAGACTTATTTAGCCATACTAGAGGAATATTCCTGGTTTATGTACACAGACAGACACACTGACAGTAATTACTGTGAAAGGCAAACACTCTACCGCTGCACGTTTCAGCCGTTTTCTGCCTTGATATCGTAACAGACCACGTTCACCGGTATAGCAGAGTCCTTAAAGATCCTTTCTGCGGTCACTGAAACCCGGTCTTTCTTGCCCTTCAGAAATACATTGGAAGAACAGTGATACCACAATAATACAGAGTTTTGCTTGTATTAAATTTTCACAATGAATTATTCACAAACTTCAGTGATTAGTTATTGGTACTAAATAATTTTCTGCTCATTGTCTTAATGTCACATTAGAACTAATGTGGAGCAAATAAAAATAATTTATATCATCTTGAAGTACACATTTTCTGATAACTTAGCACATTTAAAATAATCATTTTCTAAAAAGAAACTGTTGTTAGAAGAAATGTTTTTGTATAGTTAACCTCATTTGAAGACTAGTGTTAAATAGCATCTGAATTCATTGTGGCCGAGTAGCTCAGTTGGTTAGAGCATCATCATATACACCAAAAGGTTGTGGGTTCAATTCCCAGTCAGGGCACATACCTAGGTTGCAGGTTTGATCCCTGGTTGAGGCATGTACAGGAGGCAAATGATCCATGTCTATCTGTCTGTCTGTCTGTCTCTCCACCTCCCCTTCCTTCCTTCCCTCTCTCCCTCCTCCCTCTCCTCTCTCCCCCTCTTTTCTCTCTCAGATCGATAAATATAACCTCAGGTGAGGATTTAAAACAAAAACGGTATCTGAGTTTGATGACCTACGTTGACTGTATGGGAGAAATTAAAAACATGTTGACATTGGTCTCATAAATTATTTCTTCGATGCATTTAAATTAAGCATATGAATAAAAAAGGCCTTATTTATATACTTTAAACCGATTCCCCCTTGAAGACATCTGTTCTTTTCAAAATTTTCATATCTTTGTAAGTCTGAGGAACATTGGGAGTTTCTTGAATATTATTTTTATTACCAACTTCTATCTTTGCAAAAGCTATAATGTTCAGTAATTCTTCTGAATTTTCTCTGTAGTGTACATAAGGAAAAACTAACATAATTAACTCTTTCCACCATATGAAGGGTCCAACAAATACAATTATTAGGACGAGATATGAAGGGACCTGCTCATGATAAGCTGTGGAACCAGTTGGAGGCGGAGATACATTTGCATCGTCACAAAACTGTCATCAGAGCCTGCCGAGGACGGAACGACCTGAAGCGGCCGATGCAGGCGCCGCCGGGCCACGTGCGTTGGCTTTGCCTCTGTTTCCCTCTCAGCCACTTCCTTCTTTCTCTAATCAGAAGTTCTTTTCATGTTTTTATTCTGTTGGTATTTAAGACCTTAATTCAGAAAGTGAAAGTGAGCTCCCATTTATTTAAAACAGATACATATTTAAAGTTTTGATAACCCATAGCTCTTGACTTGGTAGTGACCTGAAAGTGATATTTCTGAAGATAGTAAACTATTGCTCAGAAATACATAGTGCTAGTACTTTGGCTCATATTTCAAAATTTTCCTGGAACATGATTAGGCATGAATTCGTTTTGAATTTGTTTTAAGCTTAGCAGTGTGTAGTTATATTGCTAAATTGCAAAATTTTTTAGGTAGTTGGTTAAGGCAATTTTGGGTAACTTGATTCAATGTCAGTTCTGGTGTGGCTCAGTTGGGTGTTGTCTTGCAAAGCAAAAGGTTTCTCGTTCAATTCCTCGTCAGGGCACATGCCTGGACTGCAGATGCAGTCCCCAGTTGGGGCACATGCGAGAACCAGCTGGTCCATGTTTCTCACATCAGTGTTTCTCTTCCTCTCTTCCTTCCCCCTCCTTCTCTCTAAAAGCAAGTAAAGTCATTTTTTTTAAATGTAGGCTGTGAACTAATGCTTATACCTGTTTGTTCTTGAATTAAGATGGGATTTGACGTCTGCGTCTAATTTTCTCCTTTCATAGCCACCATGTACAGCTGTATTTCTTTTTCTCTGGGTAAATCTTTATCAAATTTCATTATAACAGCTGTCTGATAATACAGGCCTTAATGTAATAAGAGCATGTCAGACTCCTACCTAGTGGGTCACATATCTTAGCACCACATAAAGTGTGGCCTAAGTAAAATCATTTGTTGGCTTTAGTAATGCAAAGAGTATTATAAGAAGAATTGATATGTACATGGATTTGGTGGGAAAGGAGTGGGGATAGCAGTACACATACCACTGTCTTCTCTGGGACATTGGTGGGCCCCATTAACTTCTAAGCAGTGGCCAAATATGAAAAGCTATCTTATGCTACATGAGTTTGAACTTTAACCTGATAATCATGGGATTTTAAATAAAGTAGTGGATTTAATAAGATTTTCTGACAGTCTGATATAGTGAAGAGGATGTATTGGAAGAGGGTCTAATTGCAGGTGAGGAGATACATGAGAGAGATACCGTACTCTTCTGAGGAGGAAGTGAGGAGAGCCTGGCAAGTGCATGTGAGAGGAAGGGTTTGACAGAATTAGAGTCAAGGGGACTTGGAGAGTCCAGGGGCCAGCTGTTGGTTAAGTGGGTGAGTGAGAAGGGAGACAATAGGTTTTTGATTTGGGCAAATAAGTGAGTTGATGGCATTCATTTATAAAGCAAATACAGGAAAAAGGAGGGTTTGGGGGGAAAGATGAGATCAGTTTTAGACATGCAATATACGAGGTGCCAGTGGATCGGCAAGCTACATCCAGTTGGATAGATGACTCTGGAATTCAGGAGAGGCGGCTCGAGTTAAAGAAATATTAGGCAGATCATTCATCTATTTATAACTGAAACTGTGGACTTGATTCAGTCACACAGGGAACATACATTTAAGGTAAAAAGAATAAGAGGGCAAGGATGGAATGAAACTTTTATGGAGTGAGGGGAGGAAATGGAAATGGAAGGAGGTTGAGATGGAGCTGCAGATACAGGCCACCTGGGAAAGCAGTGAAATAGAAACCAAAGGGAAGAGGGTTTCAAGGAGCAGTTAATGAACAGTATCAACTGTCTGAAGGTTTCAATTGCGTAGTGACTGAAAAGTGTTTGTTGGATGTAGCCATTTTGGTTACCAGTTACTATGGAGAAGACAATTTAGTAGAGTGTGTTGGGGCAAAACCCTAATCACAGCGGGTGGAGTAGTGAATGTGGGAGGCATGCAGGTAGGTAGGTGAGGATTAGCGCTGTGAAGGTTAAGGAAGGAAGGACGGAGGGGGGTGGTAGCTGAAGATGGTAGGAAGTGATAGAAGGGTTTCTTTGTTTTGTGTTTGTACATGGTCAGTAGTTTAATCTGGAAGAGTAGTTTAAATCTTGGAGTTTTAGTTGATGTTCTGACTAGGAAAGAGCTTAGTAGAGAGGAAAAGAGAAAAGGTGTCAGAGAAGGAATTAGTGGAGCAAGGTCCTTTATTTATAAGGTGGACTCTAGAGCTCAAAGGAATGAAAAATTAATGAATGATCCAATTAGTAATTTGTTTTCCAGTTCTACAGATTAGTTAAAATGGAAATAGATCTTTATGGTTTTTTCCAGTGAAGATAAACAATTACCACTTTTATTTCTTGAAGATATTTGTTCATCAATTAATTCCTGGCAATAATTTCTTTTGTAATGTCCTACAATTTAAAAAGAGATTTATCAGTGTTACAGAATTTGACAGAAGGGTAAGAAAATTGACTGTACAGTCTGTTATATTAACAGAACAACTATTTTCATTGATCTGTAATTACTTTCTTAACACTATACAATGTATCCATTACAGCAGGAGTATCACACTCATTTTCACCAGGGGCCACAGCAGCCTCATGGTTGCCTTCAAAGGGCTGAATGTAATTTCAACTCCTTAACAGTTAAGGAGTAGTTACATTTATACAGTTCTAAAATTATTTTGGCCCTTTGAAGGCAACTGCGAGGCTGCTGTGGTCCTTGGTGAAAATGAGTTTGACATCTCTGCATTACAAGAAATTAATAAAGATTTCTTTATTTAATAAAAGCAGGTCATATGGCATGGGTTTACTCTAATTTGTTGTATTATTTATGTAGTACTAATTTTTTTTCTTTTTTCTTCCAATAAGGATCAAGACTCTTTAAAGAAAAGCCAAGGTGTTGGTCCGATTAGAAAAGTTCTCCTCCTTAAGGAAGACCACGAAGGCCTTGGCATTTCAATAACAGTAAGAAGCAGTGCTTTCAGTCTCCTTCCCTACAGTTGTCTGGCAGAGTCATGCTCCTTCGTTGGACATGATCGAGAAACAGTATTTTAAATACATTTGCCAAAGAACTAAACTTATCCCCATGGGTACCTTTTTGTGTAAAGTTCTTTGCATTTGTTTTCTGGTATGTAAATCTTCCTCATAACTGCATTTTTATTATGACTCAGGTCATAGTTCTGTACTATATTCTTTGATGCTTTTAATGGCCTTTGGGAATGGATATGACCATTTTCTTCTGTGTTAAATGGCTCCAGAGTATGTGTTATCTCTTTCTTGTTTCATTTCTTTGTTGTCAGATTTGACTGGCTCTTGGGTCAAAATAGTCTTCCCTTTTAGGACTATGTGATGCCTTTATAAAGAGTTGTCTTGGGCAACATTCTGGACAGCAGTCTGTTATAAATACATACATTTGGAGTTCTTTTGCTGTTATTCAGTGCTTTGTTCCACATGAATAAATAAGGTGGTTTTACACTAATTTTCATTTGGTAATTCTTAAGCACTGTATAAGCTCATTTTATATCTGATACTGCTTAATGTAAGAATGTTTCTTATAATGAAAAGTCAATACAATGGAGAAATCAGATACACAGACAACACACAGAAATAGCTATCATACAAGCTGGAAAGTGACATGTACCAAATAACTGCATTTCATGAATTCTGTGTTGCATATTTTTTCATGTTTAATATATCTGAAACTGAGATTCAGCCTATGATCTTACAGTTTTTGTGGTACGTGGAAGGAAGGGTTTTTTTTCTTCTTTTACCATTTATAATGATTTATATTTGATAAAATCTAATAGTGCTGTAGACTGCTAATACATAAAATATTTGTGCTTAAGAGTTTAGTGATTATAGTTTTGACTCTAAAATGCTTTGTAGAAAAGCACATGTATGTCATTCACTTTTACTAAGAGGTAACCCTATGATACTCATAATAATTTACTTACCATTACTTAAGCATCAAATAAGATTTCACTCAGCATCTAGAGACAGTGTGTATAGGTGTTTATGAAATATATTTTTAAGAAAATTAGCTGTTAAAATAGCCTGTAATTATACAAAGAGTAAACTAATGTGTTGCCTTTGTTTTGTTGTATTTGTTGTTAGGGTGGGAAAGAACATGGTGTTCCGATCCTCATTTCTGAGATCCACCCAGGGCAGCCTGCTGACAGGTGTGGAGGGCTACATGTCGGAGATGCGATTTTGGCTGTGAACGGAGTTAACCTAAGGGATACAAAGCATAAAGAAGCTGTGACCATTCTTTCCCAGCAGGTAAGTTGCCTTTATGAAATTAAAATTAGATCTATCAGTTGGTTCTTTTTGAATCTATTGAGTATTTTTTACTTCCCTAGGAGGTTACTCAGGTAGTAAAGTGTTTCTATATTGATACTAGTTTTTGTTTTTGTTTTTGATTTGGGACTTTTATAGAAGACATTCAGCCAGATTTACTGAAAGAGGAGATTTGGTTTGCCCTTTTCCACAGCTGCATAACTTTGAGCAGGTCACGTCTTCTGTGCCGCAGTGTCCCCGTTGCAGAGCTGTGAGGATTAAGGATGGTAACACACTGTAATGTGCTCAGAACAGGACCTTACTTTAGAGAGCACAGCACTGTCAATGACTAAAACGCTATGTAAATATAAGGCATTATTAAAAATGATGCTAGAAAGTGGATTTATTTTATAGTCATAAATGTTGAAACTAAAAGGATCCTTAAAAGTCACTTAGCCCCGGCCTCCTCTTTAAAACAAGTAAACTAAGGTGCATAGAGAAACACATTATTTGTTCAAAGTTTCAGGCAAACAAATGATAGAGTTGGGATTTATGTACAGACATTATATTTATTATTCTATGTACTTAAGATTTGTTTTTTAAGATTAGGGTTGAGGAAATTAAAGAGGCATTGATAGGATATTGAGATGTTTGTTGTATCAGAAGTGTGATGTGCGAATGTGGTATTGAATCTCAGAATTGAAAGTGAATTTAGCTCATTTGGTTCAACTCCACAGGATGTATAAACCTCTACACTATTACTAATTTAATGGCATTTAAGGACTTGGTGAAGCAGTCCATTCTATTGTGGTGCATTGATGATTTTTAGAAAGCTCTTTCTCATATTAAGCCTAAAACCTGTGTCTCTGTGACAGCTACCCGCAGACCTAATTCTGTTCTCTTGAACTTTACTGAATACCACTGGACTGTCATCCACCTGTCTCCCTAAAGTGGTGTTCGTAGAGCATATTCTCATCAGGGGGAGAGCTAAGGATGCAACTCTAGTATCTTCAGGTTAGGGTTCTCGCAGCCCAGCTTGGCTGCCGTCCAGTAGCATGAGGGTGGGGTGCATGGCAGCTGTGCTGAAGGAGATATGGCCAGGCAGTCATCAAGTTTTAAGGAAACGCTAAACATATATTAAAATTCTGAAACCACCATAAACTGCTGGGGAAAGAGGAGCATCAAAGAGACTAACTTAGTGAGCAGCAGTAAAAAAATGACATGCTTTCTTTTGAGCAAAGGCAGGCCATAATTTTCAAAGTTTCAGATCCCAGACTCATGTGTATTGATTGTAGTCTCTAATTAAATGACAATTATAGCTTGGAATTTTTTTTACCATAAAATAATCTGTAACTTTTTAACTTGAATATAAAGTTGTTATTAAAGAATAATTCTAGAATTATACATTTAGTCCACTATGGGAGAAAGAGCAAGGACTTTAGAGTCATATTTCTATTATTCTGTTTTACTTGTTCATCATATTGGAAGTTATCTGCTTTCTTCAGGACTGTCTCAAGTTCCTCATTCATCTAAAAGAGACTATAATAGTGTTATTCTGAGGATTAAGGATATCATCTTGCACAATAAATGTAGTGATTACTGTTATTACTGAACAAAACACCTTGATTAAACACTATGTCTCATACTCAGTGAAAGTTAAGGAGAGGTGCAAGACCTAGTCAGTAAGAAACAAGAAATCATTATATAGTGGTTTCTTGAATCAGTCAAGGAAAAGTTTGTGTGAGAAGTTTGCTTTTAGGTGCAACTTTATATACTATCTGACTATTTAGATGAATTTGCTGAATTGCTGTGTAAAGCACAAAATAGCAAAATAACTTCAACTGAACATTTGTTCCAAAATTCTACAAATTAAATAGTTAGGCATCCTTTTCTGGGGTTTATTAGCAAAAATATTGTCATCAGTAAAAAGATCTTCTGTAATACTAAAAAGAAATTTCAGAGAGGATTCAGAGCATTGGTCTGCACTCTGAGTTGCCTTCCACCCTTGGAGATTCTAGAATGCCATTATCTGTTGTCTTGAAAGGAAGCTACATCCGAGGTCTGACTACTGCTCCTCATCTCATCCCCCACCCTAAATAATTTAGAAATCCTTTTAAAGTTATGTTTATAATAACTTGACTTCTCATTTTCTGCCCCCGTTTTAGAGAGGAGAGATCGAATTTGAAGTTGTGTATGTGGCTCCCGAAGTGGATTCCGACGATGAAAACGTAGAGTATGAAGATGAGAGTGGACATCGCTATCGTTTGTACCTTGACGAGTTAGAGGGAGCTAGTAATCCTGGTTCTAGTTGCAAAGGCCCAAGTGGGGAAATCAAAGTGTTACAAGGTAAAAATCACTCTAAAAGTTATTAATGTATTTATTATTAACAACATTTTAAAATCTGAAAGCCTAAAGCTGTTCTTTGGTAACACTTTTAAATTAACTGAATGAATAGCTCTCCCTTGCTTATAGTTTTATTGTAATCAGTAACTGTACCAAAATTGGATTTGCTTAGAAGTTCTTCTAGATTCATCTTGGACCTTAAGACAGGATATTACAAGTGTTCTTTAAAAAATACATACATACTTAAAAAAAATTAAGTTTTCTAACCCTGAAGCAAAGACCAAAATGCCTATTAGATTAAGTATATCTTAATGTTATCTATCTGTCTTAATGTGAATTCCTCTCTCATAATACAATGAAATAAGTGAGTAGACTGTTGTCTTATTATTGCGATTAGAATCAGGATATGTGATCTTGAAGAGTTTTGGTTTAGCTCTTTGCTGTTATTTAGTCATCTTAAAGAAAAATTCTAACAGTTTCTTTTCCTTAATACACTACTTCTTAAATTATGATCTATGGATCTCTGGGGGTCCCTGAGACCTTTTAGGGGGTTCATGATATCAAAATATTTCATAATAAGACATTATTTGTCTTGTCTTGTTGTCATTTTGTCTTAGTATTTGCACTGATGGTGCAAAAGAATGGGGATAAAACTCCTGGTGCCTTAGTGTGAGTCAAGCCAGTGTGCCACTGTGCTAGTAATTAATGTGTTCTCCCTTGCCATCCACTCAGAGTAAAAAAAAAAAAGAAAATGTTTCACTTATGAATATCCTCGATGAAATAGTACTAGAAAGCTTCATTTTATTAAATTTGGACCCTTGGTACATTTTAAAAAATATTCTTTGGAATGAGATAGAAAGTATGCAGAAAGCACTTAGTGGTGAGCTGAGAAGCTAGTCTCAGGGAAAAGTACTTAAATGACTAAGTTGCTAGCTGAACTATTCTTTTTTATCATGGAAGATAATTTTTGCTTCAGAGAATGACTGACAAATCATGGTTGTTCAGGCTACTTGGCAGTCATTGTCTTTAAAATGAATAGTGAGCCCGTCACGTCAAGAAAAACAATTGACAGTATTTATTGCGGATGAAAAACTCTGAGCTTTCAAGTGAAAATTACAATGTCATAAAACATGTGTCAACCACAATGAACTGACAGCTTCCCGACACTTAAGAACATTTTCTAATAAGATTGGTGGTTAGTGAATGTGTTTTATTTCTTCATATAGTAAAATGATATGTGTCAATTTTTGCTATATAACTCACTGAGTGTCCTAATATTTTTAAAATGACCAGTGTATGATGTTAGAAAATCCTGCGTGGGCAAAAGAGCCATTCAAAGTACAAGATAGACAAATGGATGTTAAACAGAACTGAGTGCACAAAGATTTCAAATTTCATATTGTCAAATTGTGGTGTAGTATCAGAGGAGAATATTGATAGTTTATCTGGAAAGGCTATTAAACTACTCTCCTGTCTTCCAACTACATATCTGTGCAAAGGGGAACTAACTTTTTATATTGTAACAGATTGAGTAGAAGCAAATACAAGAATCCAGCTATCTTCTATAAAGCCAAACATTAAGTATATTTGCAAAATTATAAAATAATGCTGCTCTTCTGAATAAATTTAAAAAATTATTTATTGATTTTAGAGAGACAGGGGAAAGAAGAAAGAGAAATATCAGTTGTTGTTCCACTTAGCTCTGCATTCATTGGTTGATTCTTGTTATGTCCCCTAACTGGGGATTGAACCTGCAACCTTGGCGTATCAGGATGGTTGCTCTAACCACCTGAGCCACCCAACCAGGGCCCAACTAAATTTTTTGAGGAAAATAGTTATTTTCATTAAACGCATACATTGCTTATGTTAACACATATTATATTTTTGTCATTTTTAACAAAAAGGTTGTTTTTTTAGATTTCTCGGTTTTAGTTACTAATACGGAAACTAAACATCAGTAACCCACATAACACTAATTATGCACATTAACAAAAGCTGTTTGTAGTTCTTTTTAAGAGTGTAAAGGCATCCCCAAACCAAACAGTTTGAGAACTTACGGCGAATTGAGGAAGTGTTGCCCTTCCGCTGAACTTGGACGTTCTGAGTTATCTACGCAAACACACCAGTAGGAGCTGTTGTGGCTGGATGTCCGCACCTCACACTGTCGGGTGCTTGCCCTGTGGTTTCATTGTCTTTCATTCTTTCTACTGTCTTCTGTCAGGATTGGAGGCTTGTCTCTTTCTTTTCTGGCAGCTGAGGCTGGAAGAGTACTGTCCCCTGTGTGAAAATTGCAGGCCGCCTCCCTTGTGACTGCACTGAAAATGTGTGCTCTTAGGATACATTGCAGTTAACTGCCCAAATCACAGACAAATGTGTCCGTTGGTTATTAGTTAGCCTGTGTCCATACGACATAGATAGCAGTCAACTCTTACTGATTTGAAAGCCCATTATCTATTTTATAGATTAACCAAAATTAATTTTATATTTTATCTAGTTTGTCTTGCCAACAAACTAGAGTTTTAGCAATAAACTAGTATATACCTCAGTAAACTGAAGCTAAATAATTTTAAAGCAAAATATAGAAGAAAAATATAACTTATGCAAGTAAAAGATAGATATTTGCATAAATAAAAGTGACTGAATTTCACAATTATGCTTATCAACTATAAGTTCCATGAGAAATTTGGTAGGAAATTTTATACAATTTTTAGATAGGTCCACTAGATAATATTTTTAAAAATTTCTACAATGTTTGATATCTGCTATAAGAAAGAAGTATTCCTTTTTTCAGAAATTACTAACTTGGTTAATCTAGGGCCCGTTTGCCTCGGATTACAGTTATAAATTACGGTGGGCATCCATGCCTTTGTTTCTCTCTTTTAGGATTTAATAAGAAGGCAGTAACCGATGGCCATGAAAACGGAGACCTAGGAACTTCGGGTGAAACTCCGCTGGAAGACAGTGCTTCTAAGTTAGACGATCTTCACAGTCTGTATCATAAAAAATCCTACTGAACTGACTGTACCCCCGACAGGATTGTGAAATCAGACCATTCTGCATTTGGGGCGCTAGGGAAGAGGGTGACAAAGACTGTACAAATCCAGGGAGGCTGCGTGTTGCCTGAATGAAAGGCGGGTACCTCAGGGCTTCATGTGAACTGCTCTAAATGCTGAATGCCCTGTTCCCGTGGTACATCACAATTGGCTATTGCATGTAAAGCAGTTTTGATTTTCTTAAAAAATCCTGTGAAGTACCAAAGCATGTGTTTTCCAAAGGGGTATTACTAGGCTCTTAAGTACCACATGAAGCACTGCTGTTTTATTTCATTCCTTTCCCACTTAGAAGGATAGTGCTAACCAGTATTTTATAAAAAATAGTCTTTAAATACAAGAGAATAAATGAATTCATATTGTATATTCCAGAATGTCAAGTGTGGTGTTTCAAAGGACAAAATTTAATGAATTGCAGAAATGTAGGCTTGACTTAATATTTTTTAACTGAAAGAATGGTTGTAGTTTTTTAAATTTATTTTGCATCCTGATATCTAAATCAGTTCTTAATGATCATTTATTGTGATGAGTTTGCTGTTCAGCTTTATGCAGTGCAGTACAAATAGTTTTCTTTAAGCAATCCTTTATCAATCAGTGCTGCACTAGAAGTAGCTCCTGTAAAGTTCCTGTACATTGTACTTTTCTGGGTTTTAAACAAAATGCAGATGAGTGTAAAATACCTGTCCTCGATTATGTTGATCCTCCGTGCATGACATTGGAGCACTCTGTCGTTACTGATTAGTCTCCAGTGCTTTTTTTCCTGGGATCTACAAAAGACAGTTTGTACATTTTGAGTTGTGTCTTGTTGCGATAGTCCAGGCACTTAAAGATACATTTTTTTTCCTGGAAGTAAAAGCTCAAATTTATTACTATGCTAATGAAATGCATTGTATTCAAACAGCAGTTTTCTCTCAAAAGTAACTGATTTGCCAGTCATTTTAAAAGCCGAAGCACTGGTGGGAAAGATAAGGGGAAGACGTTTGGATACAGTAATTGTTTTGGTTGACTTTTCACCTCAGTATGTGTCTGACTCAAGTGCTTTTCAGATGCAAACTAAGATTTTTCTAGTTCTATTATCCCAGGATTAAGAATGGAGTACCTGCTCTTTTATTTACTGAAGGCCACTCACTGTACCTTGTTGGGGAAAATGAAAATATTGCATTTAAAGGGGTGATACTTTTGCCAGTATCACTGCTTTAAAGGATATATATGTATGTATATATATAATGGACTGTTAAGTGAGGGGAAAGCCTACCAGGCTTTCAGAGTGTTATCAGTTCTTCATTTCTGATACTCAGATGTCATGTCATACAATACACATTTTCTTGTCTTTCCTAGATGCACTATATATTTGTTCGTAGGTAAATCTGTAAAATGTATATACTTTATTTGATGGTTTTGTTATTTATAAATTTTATGTTTTAACTATTGCTCATTTATAGTTTATTTTGGATGGTTTTAATCATCTGTATATCTCCATGTTAATTTGTAATAGAAATGCACTTCATAGTATATATTGTTACTGATGTTAAAATACCTTGTAGGATAACGTCATCCCTAAGCAAAAGCTGGTATTTAATTGCACAACTGAGTAAGCAAGCTACATGCTCTTGTTTGCTTCTGACATGGTAGGCAAGGCCTCTTAATAGAAAACAAATGTTTTTCCCTTCTGCATTCCCCTCCTCCAAACACATGCGCCCAGTACATGACATGAGCTCTGCAAACAGGGTTTTAGCCAGTGTATTCATTTAGTCAAAATATTACATTGTAACGTGTCTGCAAATGTTTTTGTTGTGACTTGAAACCGTGTTACTTTTATTTTTTTAAACAGTTGAATGGGACAACCATGGCATTTTTCCAGAAAATATCTATGACTGAATTCTTAGGAAATATGAGCTGAAACCTTTTGGTTTTCAAGAACTATCTAATAAGTCTATGAAGAATTTTTTTTACAGCTTTCCATTGGCCTATTTTTGAGGATGCTGTGTAGAAAAAAGGATTGTGTGAGGTGGTTATGATATAACTCCTTTCAAGGGCTGATGAGCAGAATGAAAAATGCTCGGGGCAGTTTAGAATTTAAAATTGCACAGGTCAGGCTCCCCTTTGAGACTTGTTTCACCTTGGTTTGCGAGCCTGCTTGACAGGACCTGTTGCTCAGATGCTACTGTGAGCTCCTGACATATTTTGTAACAGTCCCTTTGAAAGTTCACTTTAGATATATATGGTCTTTGGGGAAGGAACTAAGAATTGTAGACTTTTTTAAAAAAAACTGAATGAGAAGCAGTTTTAAATTTTTTTAAAATTTTCACCTGTGTAGGAAATGAACTCATAACACTCAAGTTTCTAGGGCAAAACCAAACACATAAGGAGAGAACTGTTGCAAAGTTTTTATAGTTGAAATGAAAAAATAAAAATACACAAATGCACACACAGAGAATAGCTGAGAAAAAATTTTACACAGAGTGCAAGACACTGTGTACAGTTAGATTTTCACCTCTAAATTCTCTTCTACACTGTCTGTTGTGGATAATGGAAAAACAACATCTAGGTCATTAGACTTGTTAAAATAGATTTAAGAGAGATGAAAATTTGTGAGTCTTGGTAATTATAATGGAAGAGCTGTGAAAAGTTAGCAGTTTGTCTTCGTGCTGGTTTTATTTCCCCCACAGTGAACTTAGTTTGTTTTTATGTTTAGAAACAAAATATGTTGATTCTTGTGTAAGTTGCACATTATTTGACATTCCTATTGTAATTATAATTATCCTGTTCCACCTGTCCATTCTTCCACTTAGGGTTGGCCTCAAGTCAATTGGATTTATGACAAATATATCTAGTTGAGTTAAATATTTTTTTATTAGCCTGTAAATAAAGATGGCATCTTCTACATTAAAAATGGTATTGATCTTATTTTTTTAATTCTGTTTCTTTCAAATTAAATATTTTAGTTTATTATTTATTTCTAGTAGCTTTTGTTATTTGTACTAACAAGTCATAATGCATATACAAAGACTGAACCTATTACTGTGGCAGAACAATATGGTTTTGGGTAGGAATTAACTCTTTGGTCTTTGGAACTGTTTACTCTGAGTTAGTTAAATGTGCTGACTGGAGGGACCTGCCAGAGCAGCTGTGGGACCAGCTTCTGCCGAGATTTCACAGACAGCAAAAACGTCAGTCTGCTTGGCTTGGCTTTGTATCGCAGATGTTGATAGCCAGTATTATCTATGATGATAACATTGATAAAAATTAGAGAACCAGCCCTGTTAGATAGAATCTAAGAGGCTCTTCTTTCATATGATCACCTAACCTGGCGATTTGCAGGCCATGTGCTGTGGCGTGCCTACATGCTGCCGGAGCTTGTGAACCACGCGGCAGCGGACTGTTGAGTCGGGGGCCCTGACCACCCTTCCCCTAGACTGTCAGGGCAGCGAGGCAACGGCCAGCACAACAGTCGTCCCATTTGAATGAGTCAAAAGTACACCCTTTTTTTTTTGTTATATTGGCAAAAATATATTTTTTGGTGTAACACAGAATTATAGTAACTAGTTTATATGTGCCATGAGATGAAAAAGGTTGAAAATCTTTGATCTAAGCATATATAATTTAGAAGTTCCCAAATTATGTGTACAGTATATTTTAGAAATATCTGTAAACATTGCTGTTTTTTGGCTCTAGTTTTCCATATCATCATTTATAGCCTACATAGGAACTAGGTAAAAAATGTATAGGAATGCCTTTTCTTTGCTAAGAGTATTTGATGTTATCAGGTAGAGAAACTTACAAACCATATTTTGTGCTAAGTACTAATATGTCATATTTCAGAAAACTACTTATGAATATTTGGAAATATTTTTTTGTAATAGACTAAGCCTGACTTAGTCCTAATGTAATAATGCTGTCTATGTGTCAGTTTAACCTCCCGCTTAAACAAGTAATTTGGAAAAGTCTCTTCCCCGGAACAGTATCACATAGGAAATTGTTAAGTTTATGAAATGTAAAAGATTATTTGTATTTATATTGTGAATCAGTGTTCTAGGTGATTTTATAACTGTTTTTTAAACTAAAAGGTATTACAAATGACCCTGTGTTGTTGGTGCTAAATATCTGTTTGATAAACAATCTTTTTAAAGTATATTTTATTGATTGTGCTATTACAGTTGTCCCATTTTTTTCTCCTTCATATTGCCATCTGCCCTGCACCCCGCCAGCATCCCCCGCCCTTAATTCATGTCCATGGGTCGTACACATGTTCTTTAGCTTCTGCATTTCCTATACTATTCTTAACCTCCCCCTGTCTATTTGTACCTACCATTTATGCAACTTATTTCCTGTACCTTTTCCCCCGTTCTTCTCCCTCCCCTTCCCTGCTGATACCCCTCCATGTGATCTTCATTTCTGTGATTGTGTTCCTGTTCTAGTTAGTTTGTTTTTGTTTTTAGGTTCAGCTGTTGATAGTTGTGAGTTTGTTGTCATTTTATGATGCATAGTTTTGATCTTCTCTGTCTTAGATAAGTTCCTTCAATATTTCATATAATAAGGGCTTGGTGATGATGGACTCCTTTAACTTGACCTTATCTGGGAAGTACTTTATCTGCCCTTCCATTCTAAATGAAAGCTTTGCTGGATAGAGTCATCTTGGATGGAGATCCTTGCCTTTCATGACTTGGAATACTTCTCTCTGGCCCCTTCTTGCCTGCAAGGTTTCTTTTGAGAAATCAGCTGGTAGTCTTAGGGGAACTCCTTTGTAGGTAACTGTCTTCTTTTCTTTTGCTGCTAGTAAGATTCTTTCCTTATCTTTAATTTTAGGTAATGAAATTATGATGTGCCTTTGTGTGTGCTTCCTTGGGTCCAACTTCTTTGGGACTTTCTGAGCTTCCTCGACTTCCTAAAAGTCTATTTCCTTTGCCAGATTGGGGAAGTTCTTCATTATTTTTTTCAAATAAGTTTTTGATTTTTTGTTCTCCCTTTTCTCCTTCTGGCACCCTTATGATTTGGATGTTGGACCGTTTAAAGATGTCCCAGAGGTTCCTAAGCCTCTTTTCATTTTTTTGAATTTTTGTTTCTTCATTCTGTTCTGGTTGAATGTTTCTTTCTTCCTTCTCCAAATCGTTCATTTGAGTCCCGGTTTCCTTCCCTTCACTGTTGGCTACCTATATATTTTGTTTATTTTACTTTGCATACCTTTCACTTTTTCCTCTATTTTTTGACCATGTTCAACCAAGTCTGTGAGCATCCTGATTACCAGTGTTTTGAACTCTGCATATGATAGGTTGGCTATCTCCTCATCACTTAGTTATATTTTTGGAGTTTTGATCTGTTTTTTCATTTGGACCATGGTTCTTTTCTCAGTGCACCAAGCATTAGAGCCTTAGGAATTCACCAGGGCAGACAACCCAGGTTGCTGAGTTGTGGCTGTATGTTAGGGGAGGGGTCCGAGAGGGAACAATGCTGCTTGCTCGGCTCTTGGCCAGGTTTCAGTCACTTCCCTGGCTGTGCACCAGCAAATTGGGCCCCTCTAGTGCTGATTCCTGGCTGGGTACGTTTGAGTCTCCAACAAACTCTCCTATGAGGCTGGGAGTTCCTCCCACTGCTGCAACCCCCACAGATTTTTACAGCCAGGGGTTTTTTGAGGCCTTCTTTTCCTGGCTGGAACCCTGGGCTGTTTGGTCTGTCTCACTGCCCAGTTGTTCCAGTTTATCTGCGTGCAAATGTGCAACCGCCCACTCCAGCCACTGCTTTGCCCCATGTCCTCTCCGCCTCTCCTACCAGTTGGAATGAATGTTTCTTTAACTCCTTGGCTGTTGGACTTCCATACAATTTGATTTTCTGGCAGTTCTGGTTAGTTTTTGTTTTTAAACCTGTTCATCTTTTGGTTTTTCGAGGAGGCAGAGTGTTTGTTATCTACCTACGCTTCCTTCTTGGCTGGAAGTGATAAACAGTCCTTTTTTAGGTGTATTTTGAAAGCTGTAATCACTGTTGTGGCAGCCTGAGAATTAAAATGCCCAAACCCCACCACTAGGGAGCGTACTGGACTGAAGGCCTGCCTAGCTGCTGCACTCGGAAGTCTATTGCTGCATTTACGTGGGGGCTTCACTCTTCACACACCACAGCCAGCCAAGGACTGATCTTGAGAGGGATTTTATGACATCCAGGCTTTGGCTTGAGGATTCCCTGACGGTCTTGCCAGACTCCCTTAGGACTGTATTACAGTCTAAGTTGCTTTCACCCAACCTTCCTTTATCCTTTCATAGGGGGTCGTACCTGTATCACGTAGCCTCCTACCAGACCCACCCAACTCCCTCCTGATTTTTCCTTACCAGTATTGCCCCTACTTAATCCACTACAGAGCTGATCACTTCTCACTCTTGGTGTTTGCTTCCTGGAGGACCCAGACTAACATAAGTGGACCAGGAGTGAGATCTGAGGCAACAGGTTACCAGAAGGTTGGGAGCTGGCTCGTCTTCCATTCACAGGGTAAAGAGGATGACGTCCTGGTCTGAAATACACATAGTCCTCGGTGCAATGTCATGGCTCAGTTGCTAAATATTTCACAGGTGGTGTGCAGAAAAGAGTTAACGTAGGAAGCTCGAAATTATTATCCTTACAAAGACCTGTTTGCAACATTGCCTTTGGCCAATGGCCAGCGATGAGGATTTGAAGAGCAATTTCATCCATTTCCTAACTAATAAGAGTGGCTTCCTATGCCTTAAATGTTTGCACCAATAATAGGGTTTATGTTGAACGCCTATTTTCCTCCCGGGAATCTGAAATTTTGGTCTGTGCGTAGCACACCCATGGGACGAGCCGGATAAAGACACCGGCAGCCTCCACCCAGGCTCGGGCAAGCTTCCCTGGGGGAGTTAAGGCTTATCCTGCAAAACTCCACTGGGACAAGACTGGAGGCTGGGCCTGGCTTCCTCTGATTCATTCGCTCCTGTGCCTTTTTCCTTGGCTGATTGTGTTCAATATTCTCTCTAATAAACCATAGTTATGAGTATACTTTTTGCTTAGTCCTGTGGGTTCTTCTAGCAAATCACTCAACCTGGAGATGGTCTTGTTTTACCCCAGACACGTGTTAACTTGGGTAAATGTCCCCATGGAGAGGAGTTCTCTAGAAGTTCAGTGATGCAGGCATTTGAAAAGTAAGGGGAGAGCAATGCCTACAAGGAGATTTGAGTTGGTTGGTTACTGCTGGATTTTCTTGACCTACAGAAGGATAATGAGAGACTGGGGGCTGTTATGAAGCTGTTAGTGCAGAAGCATGAGAGCCAGAGGACCTCAGGGCAGCTTACGAGGAGCCCTGGGTCGAAATAGCTGAGACTCAGGCTGGCCATCTGATTGTTACAGAGCCTCAGAGACTTGAATGTTCAGCCAGGTTCTGTTTTGTGAAAGTCAGGGCCCTGCTGGAGGAAACCTAGAACCTTGAAACATGCCATGGGACATCTGGATGGCTACCCCTGAGGGTGCTGACGCTGCAGTCCCTACTGCCTTTGGTCTTGCGGAAGTAGCCCACCCCTTCCCTAAAGAGTCGCCTCTGTTCTGCTAGAAGGGGCTGCAGAGGCTGCGTCCCAGTCCCCATGCCCCCTCAGACAATAACCGCCTTGTCTACTTACTCGTGGCTGCAAGGTTTGTAAACGGTTTAATTCTAGCAAAGTCTGGCTGTGGATGGGCTGGGTGTGGTAAGGGAGAAGACTAGACACCCAAAATGTATGAATTCGCTACCGTGTCCTGGCAGGAGCCAAGTGCACATTACTGGGAGTGGGTTTTGAGAGCCGGATGGAGGGTTCTCCAGCTGAAAGAATTGAAACAGGAAAATAATGACCCAGCACCAAGTTGTGGATAAGGAACACAACTAAAACCAAAAAGACACAGAGTTTAAAAACGAAAGAGTTAAG